GAACATGGTGACAGACAGACGCTCCCACTTAGGACTGTCACAAAGTTCCCTGGGAGAGAGGCATAAAATGTGGAGGACAGGGCCCCCCCGTCAGAGCTCACTGCTCCACACCTGCCCACCGACTTCTCTATCTCTGTACACATGGGAACAGGTGACTCTTGCTGTGGGCAAGGCTAGTCCTCCACCTATGCCCTCCCCCACCCAACCGGGGTTCTTGCTCCATCTGGCTTCTCCTCTATTTTCAGTCTCTTCCTTTCTGGGAGTTCCATCCCTATAACCTAGGAGCCTGCTTAAGTCTCTCCATCTTCCATCCCAGAGGGGACGAAAGAAACCTTCTCAAGACCTTCACGGCCCTCTGGCTCCAGCTTTCCCGTCTCGTGTGTTACGTGAGCTCCTTGACAAAATAGGCTGCCCTCGCCTTTCTACTTTACTTCCTGCTTGACATATAAAACTGTAACACGGCTTTATGGTTACAAGAGTACCGCACGTCTGCTGCAGAACATTTGGAAAATAAAAATACACAAAGAAGAAACCCATCATCCCAGAATCCAGAGATAACTGGTATTAATTCTGTATCTGGTATATTTTCTTCTAAGAATTTGCTTCCCCTCTGTGACTATGTGGAAATAGGATACTGTTGCGTGTACAGTTTTGCATCCTGCTTTACTCTCTTCTATGCACAAGTTCAACATAGTGAATTGAATCCCTTGGGGGCTGTTTCAAGTCCCATCTCCTCAATAAGTTTCCATTCATATCCGTCTTCCAGGTCCCTCCCCCCCCCACCCCCGGCAACCCCTACACTTCACTCCTTATCATTTGCACTTAACACTTAATTAGGCTCTATTAGGATGCTGGCTGACAGTGATGCTGGCTAACTGCTTCCTAGGCAGGGACTGTGTCATGAACCACTCAATCAGTAAAGTCTTATTAGCACCCAGCTCTGTGTACATACCTTGAGGTGGGAACTAGCAAGCGATGGGTACAAGGGGAGTCTGAGACACGGCCCCTGCTGGAAGGAGCTGCCATATGATGAGGAGAGACGGCCCGCACACAGAGACCCACACTGACATGAGAATGACGTGTGCGTGGGGTGCATGCTCCCTGAAGCGCTTCAGCGAAGCCAGTAAGGGCTGGGATGGTCCAGGTGGATTCCTGGAGGAGATGCGGCATGAAGATGCCTCTGGTCATTTTCCCAGGGCCTTGCACTAAACTAGGGCCTTAGGAAAAATTCATTAAGTTGACCGGAATTCATAGATTCCTAAAGATCCATGTTGAACAAAGAGTTCCTCAAACATCCATGGAGTTCTAACCCCCTTCCCCACCTCTCCATCCCTCCTCCCCCATCTGCCAGTCTGAGAGCCTCCAGGAGTCATTCCCACCTTGTGGGGGGCAGGACAAACCAACATGCACGTGCGTGTGTGAGCTGCACCCCTTTCCCTAGAGACCAGTGCTTTCTCAATGTCAGAGCATGTATCTAGTCCTGGGGTGCGATGGGCCCCTTCTGACCTAAGAATGTGGTTTCTCCAAGCAAATGGATTTTGCTAAGTGGAGGCATCCAAGCAAATGGTTTTTGCTAGGTGGAGGCATCCCTGCCAGTTTCCCAAGGGTTCCCATAATGTGCTGTGTACGCCTAAAGCCGTCAGTCCATCGAGCATTTTATTGTTCTCCTTGGATGTATTGCTTTCTGGTTAGCTCTCAAGAGACACTTCATTATCTTCTTAACAAGCCTTAATTATTTACAAGCAATCCTGGAGGCTTCAAGCGGTCTCTTCACACCCCGCCCACTTAGGGAGGTTAAATGACCTTTCCCATTTCCATCTGGGGCCACTTGCAGAATTGGCATCCCCTCCCTGGACTCCTTTTGTTCTTTATTTAATTTGTTTTTTTTTTTTTTTTGACATTTTCTAGCAATGTGTAAGGTAAGTTCTTCAAGTTTCTCTGCTTGCAAATCCTACCCATCTTTTAAACTTAAGTTCTCTAGAACTCATTCAGTTTGCTGTCCAAGAGCACTTATTTGAGCATCTCCTAAGTGTTAGGCAGTTTTTTGAGCCCTGAGGATATGAAAAGGAAGGAAAAACAGTGTAGCAGAGGAGACGGATGTGACAATGTAGAATGCTGGCATAGTTCTTGCTTATGTGCCAGGATGATGGTTGTGCGTGCTAAACATGTTGTCATCCAACCCTCACAACAACCTTGAGTTAGATAATATTATTATCCTCATTTTATAGTCGAGGAAACTGAGGCACAGAGAGGTTAATTAAGTTGTGCAAGGTTACACAGCTAGGAAAACTAAGAACGAGGATGACAGCCTGGGCAGTTTGGCTCCAGCAGTTTGTGCTCTTGGCCACTCTGCCATATGTAGTAAACTCTCATGAGAGAGTGCTAGGATGAAGGTACTCGTGGGTGGTACCCATGGTGCAAAGGACAGAGTCATCTACTCTGCTTGAGAGCCTTTGGGCATTTTCTCTAGGACAATGTATGTGCTTAAAATTTCTTCCTCAGCAAACCCCTATTGTGCTGTGAGATTTTGATTCCTTCCTTGCAGGTGAAATCACCTGCTCCTCCAATTTGTATACCCTTGGGAAGGTTAACACATCACTGAACTATTTGTTTTTAACACCTTATAGTGAATTAGCTTATCAGATGGATGGTCTTTGTGAATATCAGAAGAACTCAGCCTTGAGACAAGAAGGAGAGTGGGGAGGGAGTGGGAAAGAAAGAATACCTCTGGAGCACGAGGGACACAGCTGTCGGCAGCAACTACTGGGGAGAGGGTGGGTTTTGGCAACTGAAAAGAAGATACCCAATGTAGATCTGTACAAACGAGTAGAAAGGGAGGTTGTTGGAAGGCTCTAGAAGCAAACTTCTGCACTTCCTAGTTTTCTGATGGTGGATTAGATGTCCCACCTGGTACTTTTGTCTCATCCACTGAGTAGGATGCAGATTCCACAGAACGGAAAAACGAGGGCCACAGAGCTAATAAACAATAAGCCTATAGAAAGAGGTGAAAGGAACTGGGTTTATTACAGTTTATTACAGAACTGCGGGTGAGAAAGTTGGTGATTGCAAACGTCAGAATCCTCTGAGTTCATCATGGGAAATTATTGAGAAGTTAAGCCAGATGTCTTTGCTGCCAGTGATGTCAGAAAAAGAGGATACTAACTGAATCAGTGAGAAGGATTTGATTAGCTGTGGAGGATTTCCAGTGATGGCTGTTGGCGTGAAGCTCTTAAACATAGGATAAATTCTCATCTAGGATTATGGAAAATGTAAGTGTGTCTCAGGGCACCAGATCAGCCTTTAAAGATCCTTCTCAGGTTTACAAATAGCATTTAAATACTGCTCTATTCTTGTTCACGATTTTTTCCTTTTCTGTATGAGTTCTTTCTCATCCGTTCATTTCAATCTCTTCCCTCACAAATTAACATAAAATGACTTTTACTCGCTTTTGTAGTGGTCTCTAAAATTGATCTATTCTTTAGTTATAATCATTAGTAATTATTATTCCTTTATGGTAGTTCACCATAAGGTTCTAACTAGTAGTTCTAACTAAGGTTGTGCCTCAACAAAAGACTATGGGATGAGAAGTGGAAGTTATTCGATATGAATATATAGAGAGAGAATATATTGAACACACATATACATAATGTAACTGTCATATGTTGAGCACTGATTATGGGTCAGGAATCGTTCTAAACAAGGTACACATTTCACGTTATTTAATCTTCAAACAACCCATTTTTCAAGTGAGGACCCTGGCACAGAGAGCTTACGTAAACTGCTCAAGGTTATACATTTAGTAGATAAAGGAACTGGAATTCCAGTGGACGCATTCCAGCTCTGGAGCCTGTGCATTTAAACTCAATGCTATGTTACTTCCTGAAATGGCCATAGAGAAGTTGTGTATTAAATATGGACTGGTACAGGAGTGGCCCAAGATGGCTGCATAGGAAGACCCTGAGCTCACCTCCTCCCACAGACACACCAAATCTACACCTACATATAGAGCAATTCCTCCTGAGGGCTGATTAAACAGCTACCGCACATAGAAGGACCACATAGAAATGGGTAGGAAAGACAGAGATGTTGTATCCGTGGGAACCCAATCCCCAACACAGCAACCTGCAGTAAGGAGGGATATTGCTGATGGGCCTGAGCACGAAATTGCCCACCCTGGGAAACAGCATAAAAATCAGCAGTTTAAAGGGTATCCAGACTGTATAGGAAGGAAATCCATTTACTAGAGCTTCTGCCAAATGGGCTTCACTCACACTGTAGTCACAGGTCCACCCAGATTCAAGGGGTGGGGACGTAGACCCTACCTCTTGATGGAGGACAGTCAAAGTCACATGGCAAGAAGAATGTATGTGATGAGAGATACTGATGTGGCCACACTCTTTTTCTCGTCTTTTCTTTCTGATAAACTTATACAGAATAAATTCCCCTGGGAGAAACCTCTCTCTCTTTACCTGACTTAATCTTATTCATCAACTTTCTTACCATATTTAAGCACTCCATAAATATTTGCTAAATAAATGAATAAATCATCATCATCATCACAGCAAAAAAGACGGTGGGAAATATTTATTGAGAGCGTTCTGTGTGCCAGGCATTAAGCAAAGCATTTATACATATTATCTTGTTGAATTCTCCCAAGAGCTCTGAGAATACTAGTATCCCTTTTTATGGATGAGAACTGAGGCTGACAAAAGTTTACACAGTGTGGAGGAGGTGGGGCTGAGGCACAGAGCCAGGCTTTTACCCATCACACGACGCAATTAACTTTGTTGAGATGCCGTGGGATGGGGACAGGGTGAACCAAGGTACACGTGTTTGTCTTCACCCCAGGCCTGAAGGAGAACAGCTGGTGTGCCATGGCCGAGATCTCGGCTGTAGGGTGTCTAGCTGTGGCTGAAAGAGCGTCACTGGCCATTCCCTCGGAGGTCCGGTGGAGAATGAGTATGAAGGCCCATGTCAGTTACTTCCCACTTTCTTTCCAGTCTGGGTGACTGTCCACACCATCTCTGTGGAAACCCCAAAGGATGTTCTTCGCGCTGCTAGGGTAAAGAGTGTTACCCTTCCATGCACCTACCAAACTTCCTCCCTCAACCGAGAAGGATTTATCCAATGGGACAAGCTTCTAAGGAGTCATACGGTAAGGATCTTTGAAAAGTTGGGAGCGTCATGAGTACCACCTGACCATGACCTCTTGGAGGCTAAGCACTACAAAGCCATTCAATAAATGTTAGGCAGAATAAACTTAGTTAGCGCCCAGGCTGGGATGGGTGGGGAGGGAGCAGTGAATGTTGGACCCAGGGAGGGCCATATTATGCCACCTCTAGTGTGAAAGAGTCACCTTCCCCAAAACATCTTTCTGTTGGTCAGTCTCAAATGACCTAAACTGTATCATTCCTTTTGATTAGCATAGTGCTCTCCCTTGAGGCCACATTTTAATTATGGTTTTTTCCTGTTTGGGTTCTTTTGGGGACTATGGGAAGATTTTATTTTCCATTTTGGAATAGATAGTAATCCCATGGCTCAAAAATTAAAACATCCTGAAAGTGTACATGGAGAAGTCTCATTCCTATCCCTGCCTCTCTCTTGTCTTATCTACCCAGTTTCCACACCCTAATCCTTCTATCTCTCTGTCAACCCCAGCAAGGCTAATTTTCACTGGTACTGGTTCTTTGGGGCCAGCATTTATTCTGATTGATTGGTATCTCTGCTACAATCATTCAGTATTGTGAATATCACTTTTGGCTAAGATTTAGCTTCTTGTGTATCCTTCCAATGATTCTTTATGCCAATTCAAGAAAATGTGAATGTATGTATTCACACACATGAAAATACATCTACTTTTGACCCTAGAATCCCAGTCCCCTATTCCCCTCACCAAAGGCAACCACTATTACCAGATTTGGGGATGGACTTCTATAGATGCTCCACATGTATACCATGCACACACAAACATAGACATATATTTACATATATGTATATGAATATGTATGTTTATGTAAACTACATGCATACTGTCCTCCACTTGGCTTTTTTTCCTCTTAATATACCTTGGAACTCTTTCCATATGTCAATACATTTATATCTATCTCATTCTTTTTTAAATATTTTCATTAAGTATCACATTTTGTGAATGCTCTATACGCACCAATGGTGGACATTTGATTTGTTCCCTATATTTTGCTGCTACAAATGATGCTGCAATAAACATCCTTATATATATGTCTCTAGGTATATTTTAAATATTATTGTAATTATTTATAAATATATATTTATATATAAGATAAATTATTAAAAATGAACTTCTGGGTCAAAGGCTATGTGAATTTAAAATTTGGATAAATGATGTCAAATTGCTTTCATTGGATGTCAGACCAATCTTCATGTTCACCAACAACAGTGTAGGCACCTATTTCTCTAACAGAGTAGTCTCAAACTATTTGATATTCGCCAATTTGATGAGTGAAAAAGTATCTCATTATTGATCAAATTCACATTTCTTTAACTGTAAGAAGAGGAACATCTATTCATAATATATTTATAGTTTTTGGACCACGTGTGCAGCATGTGGGATCTTAGCTCCCCCCAGTGGGATGGAACCCATGCCCCATGCAGTGGAAGCATGGAGTCTTAGTCACTGGACTGCCAGGGAGGTCCCTATTCATAAGTTTTAAAGTGAGTTCTACTTTTAAAATGCACACATGCCTGGCATTAGATCCCCAGCTACTCAGAGTGAAAGCATTTAGCTTTTTCCCTGACAGAAAAGAAAGGGGAACCCAGGACACCCAAGTCCTAGAGCAGCAGGGCCGATGAGAAAGGAGAGCAAATCTTGGCCTAAGGCACCTTACTGTCTGTTGCCCAAGGCACTCTGGTGGGACAGAGCACATGTCCTATCTGTTTCCAGAACCCCAGGAAGAAACCTAGAGAGGGCAGCTGCTGCCTTTAGCTTGTAGAAACTGAAGACACGTTCTTTCACCGTCACATGTATTCAGCAAACAAGACGTTAGGTCTCTGGCAGGCACGCTTCTGAGTGCTGAGATAAATACTAAAGATCTTTTGTTGACTGATGGATCCCTTACTTCCTAAAGGATTTGAGGCAATCCCCTTGAGAGCAAGCAAGGGTGCAGAGCAAGGGATTTAACCTATGCCCTCAAGGAGATTATTGTGACAGGTCCTAGCAAGGGTTGGGGGGTGACTTGGGGGAGATCCCAGGAGGGGGAAGCCTTAGGATCGCTGTGATTGGGAGGAGGGTTGGGGCGTGAAGAGTCCTTGGCAGAGCCAGTAGGTCAGGAAAGAACTGAGCTGGGAAAGAACAGCATCCACAGACGGGTCCACAGCCCAAGACAGGTCCTCATCTCCCACCTTGTTGCTCCTCCCCTTCTCAGCCAAGCTTCCTGAGTTATCTGCCCCTACCAGGGCTGTTGCATGTGGTTGGGCAGATTATGCACTTGGGTACCCAGCCCGGGGCACCTGACCGCCATTAGCTTGGCAAAGGTGTGTCTGTCCAACAACTAGAGCACCTTTTCCTGATTTGCGTAAAGAGCATGCCCAGGCGTCAGACCTGACACTATGTCTCCACACTCTCTTCCCTACCCGGCATGGTCTGTCTTCCTCCCCTAATGCTCCACCGAAATCACCAGCAGCTTCTCTTTTGTTAAATTCAGTGTGCTGATTCAGTCCTCATCTTATTTCATTTCTCCCTAGCTTTTCCAACTATCAGCCACTTTCCTATCTTGGAATCTCCCTCCCTTGGCTTTCTGGTAGCCTCGTCTTGGCTTTTGCTCGTATCTCTCTGACCTCTCTCTGACCTTTCCAAATGAAGTAACTTGGGGAATTGCCATTTCTCTACTCATTTACCCGAGGTGGCTTCATCATGACCATGGCTTGATGCCATCTGCTTTGCATATATTGTCTACTTTAACTCTCACATAAATCCTATGATACAAGTGTTATTATCATTATCTCCACTTTGTAGATGAAGAAATGGAGTCATAGAGAGGTCAGCATTTTGCTCAAGGTCATAGAACTAGTAAGTGGCAGAACTGGGATTTGAACTGAGGCAGTCTGGTTCAAAAGTAGTGATCTTAGCTAGTACTATGTTCTGTTTGATAAATGATAAGTATATCAATGAATAAACAAATTCCAAAGGCGAGAGTCAAATAAATAAAGGGGGCTTGGAAGCCAAGGATGGCTACCTAGCACAATGCCTGCACGTAGTAGGTGTTCAATAAATATTGGTTGACTGAATGTCTGAGAACAGACAGTGAACTAAAATGGAATGGGTAAGAGGTGCCAGAGGTTACAAGAGGTGGAAGCCTCACTTACTCACACGTGCTCCTCTGGTATGAACTGCCTACCTGCCCTGGGCTTTCAGTATTTTCACTAAAAACATATAAATACATCATAAGAGGAATCCACAAGTGGACACCATATATAGAGCTCTTTGTTCTGCAGGGTTGGTGTGTCAGTACACCTGGGCCTGGGAATGGTGGATGAGGGTAGTCAGGGCAGGCTGGAGCATCATGCCAGGGCCTTAGGCTGAAGACCAAGTGGTATTTCTTCTTCCTCACAGGAAAGGGTGCTCATCTGGACATTTTCGACCCAAACCTACATCTACGGTGAACTTTATCAGAACCGCGCCAGTGTATCAGGCAACGTCCAGCAGTCAGATGCCTCCATCACCATTGACCGGTTGACCATGGATGACAACGGCACATACGAGTGCTCTGTCTCACTGATGTTGGACCTGGAAGGGGTCTCCAAGTCACGTGTCCGCCTCTTGGTGCTGGGTGAGTGTCTCCTTCTCCTTCCTGGGGTGGTAGGAAGAGGGGCGGTGAGAGGAGCGGGGTACCCTGCCGGTAAGGTAAAGCCAGGGAGCAATGCCTGACCAGGAGCTAAGACTCCTCCCCTCGTCCCGTCTGTCTCAGGGGGTGGGGTGCTCCTCCTACCCCTGGAACCAAATACTCTTCTGTCTGGGCAGATAGCTCCCCAGGGCCAAGGTCAGGGCTGATTTGGAGTGGCCCCTGGGGGTCAGCCTTGGAGATTCTGTCCCTGCTCTGTCCAGTACTTTTTCCCTCACACCAGCTCCTCTCTTTCTCATGCCAAACTTAACTAAACAGAAGAAAAGGGGAAATCTTAGATCCTACTCTAAAGACTCTCACTGCCCTGCTTTGATGCTGGGGGCCAAATAATGACTCTCTTACAGGTCAGGCATCTTTCCCAGCCCTAAATTCAGCTAATCAGTAGAAGCCCTTCACACCACCATCTCCCCACCCCTCGGCTCCAACACACCATCGATCAGGTTCTACTGCTTCTGAAATACGTCCCATGATAACATTCTTTCTACACAAATAGCTTATTATTGGAGTTTATAGCTTTGGAATAATTGAACAATCACCTACTCTTAGTATCTTCATTTTGCAGATGAGGCCAAGAGAAAGTAGACACCTGACTCAACGTCAAACAGTTATTGGAAAAACTTTAGTGAGCACCCAGCCTGTGTCCACTCTAAGAAATGACCCCCACCGTGGGAGGGAGCAATACTTTAAACCAAAGCAATGGATCATGTTTCCTTCATTTTTTCCCCTTTACACTACATAGTGGGATTTTATTTTTAATTACATAAGGTGGCTGCCTGGGTTTTTGAATCATTGTAGTGAGTCAAACAATAAAGCCCTGAATAAAGAATAACCATCTCCTCCTTGCACCCTCCTACTAACAAGGTGGCCAAGGCTAGTACTTGTGTGTATTCTTCCACACTCGTCTCCATGTCCTTTCAACATACACACACACACACACGCACACACACACACACTTTCTTTTTGTTTCTTTACTTTTCTTTAAAAAAAAAAGAGATCATATTATAAAGATTATTCTGTAACTTTTTCTTAATGTTTCATGCACACTTCTCCAGATCAATGCATACAAATCTACCTATTAATAGAATACATTCCCGTGCATGGAGGTACTATGATTATTCCAGTGTCCCATACTGATGAGCATTCTCAGGCTGTTTCCATTTTTTTTATACCAACAATACTGACTCTCTCTCTCTCTCGCTCTCTCTCTCTCTCTCTCTCTCTCTCTCATATATGTGTGTGTGTGTGTGTGTATGTGTGTGTGTGTGTATTCTTTCACTGTGTTATATTTGTTTCTATTGGATGATTCTTAAAAGAAGGATTTCTGTTGCTTAACATCATTAGGCATCAAGGAAATACAAATTTAAAAAAGTAGAATTTCTAGGTTGAGGACTATGCCTTCATTAAACATTACTCCATACCGGCAAATTACTTTTCCCCAAAGCAACTACTACTGCCATGAGCATTATGTGATCATGTCTGTTTTCCTATATTCTTACCAGGACTGAATATTATCAATCTTTTTAAGTTTTGTAAATTTTGTTAATTTGCTAGGTGAAAAAAAACCCAGTTCAGTCCAAGTCAGTATTTTAATTTAACATCCAATAAGCTTCACACCTTTCCTTAACTTTGTGCTGACCCCCTAAATCTTGGGGACCAGCAGTGGAATAAGGGCTGGGCCTGTTTTCTTACTCTCCTTGGTCCACCTCCTCCCACCCCCACGTCTGGCTCCTCTGAGGTCATGGCCAAGGGAGGGAGTGTTAAAGGGAAAAAGGCAATGCCACGTTCACCTAGCCAGGCCACTTACCATTTTCTCTTGGCTAACCCCAGTCATAGCAGACATCCCACTACTGCCTCTTTTGTGGGGTGCATTAGTGGGTTCTTCAGCACCCCCCAGGGATCCACCTGACACAGGTAGTGTGCGCACCCACTGGCCAGACTCTCACATCCACCACCCTTTTCCACCCTCCCTTGCTTATGGCAACTCACTCCTGCTCTCTGCTGTCCACTCTGGGCTCCCATTGATCCAGCAAGCAGCTCTCTGGGACTGAGTCCCTTCTGTATGACAAGAATCAGCCTCCATCATTACCCTCCTAAACCCACTATCGCAGTCTGCTCCAGCCAGCTTCTCTGGGCAAGGGGCACGCACCATAGTCTGACATCAGATGGGTCCTCAGATACCCAGGGACATCTATAAAGCCCTTCCATCATCACGCTCCAGGAGTAGCACTGCAGGGACTTACCAATTTCTGTCCCTCAGGAAACCTCAGCCAGGAGTGAGGGATGCCAGCTCTCGACAGTAGACAACCCCATTCTCCATGCGGCATTCTCTTGGTTCCTCCCTGGCTGGGCCTGAGTTGAGGGGAAATACCTCCTTCCCTTCCCCTAAGAGAAGGGGGGAGATGCTCATGGATCCCTATTCCTGAGAATCCTCTTTAAAGAAATCTCCTTCCGGGCTTCCCTGGTGACACAGTGGTTGAGAGTCCGCCTGCCGATGCAGGGGTCACGGGTTGGTGCCCCGGTCCGCGAAGATCCCACATGCCGCGGAGCGGCTGGGCCCGTGAGCCATGGCCGCTGAGCCTGCGCGTCCGGAGCCTAAAGAGGGGGGGAAAAAAAAAAAAAAAAAAAAAGAAATCTCCTCCCAGATGAATCTCTAGCCTTCTGGGTGAGGGTAACTGTTAATCATAGGATTTGCTCTTGGGAAGGTCACTGGGATGTTTCTCATGCCTCTCCTCAGTTCTGAGGACACTTACCATTCAAAGCCTCAACCTGAAGGTTTTAGTGGAAATTCTGAGACACAGGAGAAGCCCCCTCTGTATACTGCTGATGTTTTCTGTTATGGATTTAGGGTCTCTTGTCTTGCACAAGGTCTCCCACTGCCACCTTTGAGGTCATAAAAATGAACTTAATGTTTTCTCTTATGTCTGTAAGTCTTGTTTTTTATCCTTAGATTTTGTTTTATCCGGAATTTATTTTTGAACATAGGATTCTAAGGGTCTTTGTTTTCTTCCAAGTGGATAGCCAATTACATCAGCATCGTTTATTATATCAAAGAAACAACTATTTTCCCACTGGAATCCCAGCTTTGTCACATATTAAGTTCTTACACATACATGGCTGTTTTTTACTCCTTATTTTATTCATTTACCTTTTGATTATTCCTATGCCAATATCATTTGCTTTTGATTACAGTATGTCTGTTGTCCATAGTCAGTGTTGAGATACACAGACATACAGACGCACGGACACACAGACACATACACATTTAGAGTTATCAGTATTTGTGTAGTTGGCTTTTAAGGTCTGGCACTGTGTAATATCTTCTCTTACTAAACTTTTCCAAAAATTTTTGTCAGTTTTTACACATTTATTCTTTCATATTAATTTTAAAATCACTTTGCTTAGTTAAAAAAAGTTGGTTGGAATTGTATTCAATTTGCATTTTAATTTGCAAAGGAATGACATTTTAATGATATTAAGGCAGATGGTATATCAGATTTTCTGACCTTCAGAATTGGTGAATGTCTAATGATAGAATTCCAGACTTTCTGTGACCAAATGAGGATTAAGGTGTTTACTTAGTTGTATAGGAGGAGGACAGGAAACTGCACCCATTCCATGTAACCAAATATCCAATCTCTCTGTGTCTTCCTGCTCTGAAAACCAAAGGGATCCCTCTTAAATGGAGGGAAAACTACCATCAACTTCCAATGACCTTTGCCTGTACAGAGTTGTTATAGATAACACAAATTCACAATCATAACTGCTATCATTTATTGAGGGCCTGCTATGTGCCAGGTATCTCACTAAGTGCTTTATGGATATGATCTCATTTAACCTTTGCGGTACATCTGTGAAAGTGGGTATTAACACCCATATTTAATAGGAGGGAACACTGAGACTTGAGAGGTTAAATGACCACTAGAAGGTGTCCAAGCTTTGATGGAAATTAAATCCAAAGCCCTTCACCGTTCCACCCTATAAGTTTGCCATTCCCAACCAGCAACCCTTCCAATTCTGGATGAGTCCCAAACTCTTCTAGGTTTACTTATCGGTATACTCTCTCTTTCACTCTATGGCAGATGTAGACTTGCCAATATGTTTTATCATGTCACAGCATTAACTTGTGTTTTTCCCTTCCTGAGCCCATGCCAGCGAAAGAAGGTTGAAGGGGCAGAGCAATGGCAGCCCTGGACGTGCCCGTTGCCTTCATTTGTCCACAGGACATACCCATCTTGGAAACATCACTCACTGAAAACTGAGATTCTATAATCGCTCTTCCACACTGAAGGTCTCAGCTTAGGGTCTGGGACACTGAAGCCCTGCCACCCTGTGAGTGCACGGATGTTTATTTCAGCGTTTTCATGGGGAGCTCTGATGCTCTTAGAGCTTTAGGAACATCCTCCCCTAATCTCATGGACAAGACTGACACCATCACATTTTATCATCTTATAGCATTTTTACAGCTGTGTTTTAGTTGCCCCAGACTAGGTGGAGTGCCATGATGTGTTTTTCTACTGGCTCCATTGAATCAGGGGATTCTACCTTATTTGTGGAGGGCTCCTTATGTCAAAATATCTAATGCACAGAAGGTTGTTAGAAAGAAGCCTATTTCTGCTCTGCTGTCCTGTTCTTATTCCCCGGCTACAACAACCTTAGTCCAAACACAAATAAACAAATAGCTGTGTTTGGTGATCCCTTGCCTCTTTAAAAAACTAATTTAAAAAAAGAAGAAGAAACAAGAAAAGAAAAACATTCACCTATATCACTGGGTTTTATATTTCTCCATGTTTTCTTCCAGATCCTATCCACATGCTTATTTATGTACGTAACTGAATTTGTAGCTTAACGACTGGCACTTTTCTCTTTTCATTCCACATCACCTAACACTTCCTGCTATCTTAGCACTTACTGTTCTTTAAGCTTCATGCCACTCCAGCAAGCGGACACAGAGTCCCTCTGTCCCTGGACTGGACACTCAGGCTGTTTCCAATTTAAGCTACTGTAATTAATGTTGCATCAAACCGTTCTGCGTGCATAGCGGTTAATTTTATTTGCATTAGCTCCTGAGGGAGATACTACCCAGCCAGGAAAACGAGCAATTTTCTCCTGTTTCTCTTCTGTATTCTGCACTGTCCCGTCACCCACCCCACTCCCATCCCTCCCCTTGCCCTGATTCACCCGCAGCTGAGTCCCTCACTTTGACCCACCTGGTCCTTCTCGGGCTAATTATGTCTCCTTCTGGCTTCCCTTAAATAGCTCCTACTTTCTTCTGGCAGCAAGCTGGTTTCGGGGAAGGCAGCGGGAACCCACTCAGGTGCGAATATCCCGATTTCCCCTCCCCTCTCAGGGCCAGCTGCATTTTAAGAGAGGAATTAGTTAACTCGAAGGGCAAAGGCTACAAATTTAATCTGAGATTATGCAGCTCGGTGAAAAGAACGTTTTGCTTTAAAAAAAGGATAATTTGGGCTTCCCTGGTGGCGCAGTGCTTGAGAGTCCGCCTGCCGATGCAGGAGACGCGGGTTCGTGCCCCGTTTCGGGAGGATCCCACATGCCGCGGAGCGGCTGGGCCCGTGAGCCATGGCCGCTGAGCCTGTGCGTCCGGAGCCTGTGCTCCGCAAATGGGAGAGACTGGGGACAGTTCAAAATGTTATTTGTTTAGTGTACAGACTAGAGAGAGTTCAGAGAAAAGTAATTACATTATAATTACCAGAGCACTGGAAAACAAAGTCCATGATAAAGTTTCCAGACTTGTAGTACCAAAAGATTAGAAAAAAAAAAAAAAAAAAAAAAAAAGGATAATTTGGTACTATATATTAAACCCAGTAAAAATCCTTTTCTTTTTAAGTTTTCTTTCCGAATGGCTTTGCTGCTGGGCTAATTTTAGGGAGAAGGGCTTTAATTATGTGGGTCCACCCACTCGGGCTGCGTGACCTCACAGTAAACTGGCGCGAACACGGAGCTTCCGGACCGAGGCGGGGCGCGCGCCCTCTTGGTCACCGCGGGGAAACCACCTGGCCCGGGTATCGGGGACCTGGCGCCGCCGGGCAGGATGGGTCGTCTCCCCGGCCTCTGGCGCCCCCTGACGTCTGCGGCGGGAGTCGCAGGCTTTGGAGAGGCCTGGGAACCCACAGGGTCTCCTATCCCTCCCTTCACTCCGCCCTCTGTAAGTATTCAGGTGGTATCTGCATTCGGTTTTGGGAGATGGGACGCACCAACTGAGAATCCGAGATCCACAAGAGTCCCCGCGGGTCTCACACCCACCGGCAGCGGGTGGAAGGGCAGTCTGAACTAGATCTGTCTGATTCAAGTCCTAGCTGTTCTTGACGGTGGGGACTGAGAAGGGGAGCTTCAGGGAGGGGTCTGAACTGAGCGAGGGCTGGGGGTGTAGGATGAGGTGAGCCGAGAAGGCAGTTTGGGGGCCGAGGTTAAGGGCCCTGGGAAAGGACCCTGATACATTCCTCCATAAGGTGGGTCTCTTAGGGGATGGTTGGTCCCTTGTTTGCCATTATCTCTACTGCTGCCTCGGAGTGGATTAGGCGTTTGATTTTAATAATTTTCCCTCAGCAAATGGTGGTATAAGAAAGCTAGTCTTGGGACTTCCCTGGTGGTCCAGTGGCTAAGACTCCGTGCTCCCGATGCAGAGGGCCGGGGTTTGATCCCTGGTCGGGGAACTGGATCCCACAGGCCACAACCAAGTTTGCATGCCGGCAACTAGCATGCCGCAACTGAGACCCCGTGCAGCCAAATAAATAAATACATAAATATTAAAAACAAGACAAACAAACAAGAAACCCACTGCCTACTGGCAAATGGCAGCTATTGGCATTAAAAAAAGAAAGCTAGTCTTCGGATATGTTCAGCATGGTTTTCTGTGTTTCTCTAGGTGCTCACTTGCCCCAGTCCCTTCTCTCTCCTTTTTGGCTTGTATTACAAAGAAACCCGGTTGTGGAAAGGCTTGGCTACCAGGCATGCACATTTAGCATGACTCTGAGTCAACGTGAGACTTTGAAGGTGGTATTATATTTGTGGCCGGCTCTCTTTTTGTGGAATAAAGGCTTAGCTTCCTGGTAAAGGCGTACCTGGAAACAAAGGTGACAGTTTTGATCGGTGGGGAGGGATACTCCTGTCCCTCTGGAGAGCTCAAGAGATAAAGCTTGGCTTAGCAACCCTGACCTGGTTCGGGTCTCCTCGGAAGTGATGCTCACTTTCTCTGTCCCCCAGGTGCCTGCTTGCTGGGTCAGCAGGGAGGATGGGAGGGCAGCTCGTGGGAGTGGCCCGTGGGTAGCAGCCTCTCCCTTCCCAGGCTGCTTCAGTCCTGTGGGTCTGGGCCTGGATACCTGAGTCCTGTCCTTGAACCTGGGGCCTTTTAGGTTTAGGGACTGTCCGATTGGGGGTGGCAGTAGGAAATGCCTCTGATTTGCCCCATGCTCACCCCATGACTGGCTGGCCCTCACTAAGATAGCAGGAGACGTGGGGCACACCCAGCCACCACTGCCAGTGTCAGCGAGGAAATATGGGCTGTGGCGCTAGAGGGGAGAGATGTGTCCTGGGTAGCTTCTCCTGGCAACTCTGGGCCAAACAGAGATTGGAATTCACCCGCCATGCCCAGTCACCATGCACCTGTGCAGTCTAGACTGTAGAAAGGGCAGTGCTATTTACTGGGGCAAGCAAGCCATCCAAGGGGGCACATAAAGAAAGAAGCAGAGGGGACAAGCCTGCCACTGGGGAATTCCAGTAATAGTCCTCTCTACTGGGTGTCCTCCTCTTCCCACCCTCAAGGACACGACCTGAAGTCCCAGGCATACTCGATGCTTCTTGCCTCAGGGCCTTTTGCCAGGCTGCTCCCTTTGCCTGGAGTGCCCTCCCCTCTCTTTCTCTGACCGCCCCCCTCCGCCAATCACGTCTACTATTAGCTTTGTGATTGGGTCAGTGTCCCTTGTCGTGCCTGTCCTGTCCCAGCATCCTTGCCTCCTGCCTGGTCCTTGTTTGATTACTTGTCTATTGGCCCACTGGACTCCTTGAACATGAAAACTCACTCACTATGTCACCCCCATGCCCAGCAATGACAGGCATACAGTAGGTGCCCGAAAGGTTTTGTAGACCAAACCACTCTACACAGCGGTATGTTAACTAACAGTGCTGAGTGAAGGACCCTGGCTTAAGGTCTTCAGGAATTCTGGGAGATCAGGTTAGGCTTGTGAGTTGAGGGTGGTCAGTTAGTTTTGGGAACCTCCTTTCTTTCTATTTTTTTTTTTGTTGTTGTTAATAAATTTTATTTTATTTGTTTATTATTTTTGGCTGCGTTGGGTCTTCGTTGCTGTACGTAGGTTTTCTCTAGTGGCAGTGAGCGGGGTGGGCTTCTCATTGCGGTGTCTTCTCTTGTTGTGGAGCACAGGCTCCAGGTGCGCGGGCTTCAGTAGTTGTGGCTCACAGACTCTAGGGCGCAGGCTCAGTAGTTGTGGTGCACGGGCTTAGTTGCTCCGTGGCATGTGGGATCTTCCTGGACCAGGGCTTGAACCTGAGTTCCCTGCATTGGCAGGCGGATTCTTAACCACTGCACCACCAGGGAAGTCCAGTAACTTCCTTTCTGTGGGCTTCCCTTTTCTTGTATCTGCTCCTTCTGGCCCCTCCATCCCCTCAGCCCTCATTCTCCACCCTGCACGTAACCCTGCTGCCACCAGGGGTCTCTCCTATCACCCAGTCACCTGTGGCAATTGCATTTTACCAGCAAAGCATGGGAAGACGGTAATGCTTAAGTGAAGGGAACATTCCTAAGAAGTTAGCATCGAAGGGCTTCAGAGAGAGAGGCTTTCACTGAAACCAAGGGTAGGCAAACTACAGCCAAATCCAGGCTTCAGACTGTTTTATATGGCCTGTGAGCTAAGAATGGTCTCCACATTTCTCTGCCTGTAAACAAACAAGGCAGTATTTTCGTTTGTGTGTGTGTTTGGGGTGGGGGGTGGCTATCACCAAGCGCCAACTAATTCATGGCTTCTCTTTGGCCCCTCCCCTACACAGTGCCACCCTCCAAGCCAGACTGCAGCATCGAGGGAGAGACTGTGATTGGGAACAACATCCAGCTGACCTGCCAATCAAAGGAGGGCTCCCCAGCCCCTCAGTACAGCTGGAAAAGTTATGATGTCCTGCACCAGGAGCGTCAAGTCGCACCAGGTAACGGGGTCAGCAAGGAAGGCCAGCCCCCACCCCACCCCCCGCCCCCAACCCCGAAGGCTTCCCCTTTCCCTCCACCCCACATTTGGCACTGCAATATCTTGGACCATCTCTCTAAGCAGGATTTTCTCTTAATAGCACCTACCTCATAGGTTGTTTTGAGAAATAACGTAGTAAATGTTAACTTGTTTTTTTATTCCCCATAACTGAATTCTCTTGAGTAAGCAAGTATCAATAACCAGTCGGTGCAAAAGTGCTAGGTGGGATTTTAGTGTTGATTATGATTATGTCCTAAAGTATACATTTAAGGCCTCAAGTCTAATTCTATGGCTCCACTTAAGGGTGGGGAATTTCCTATTCCCATCCCCTAGCCAGGCAGGTCCATCTCAGACTCCCCTGGGGATCCCCATCCCCCAAACTCACCCCCATTTTATGGTCCCACCCAACTACAGGACCAGGTCTGCGTTAAGGGTCCCACATTCTCAGGGAAGGAAGTGGTAGGTTCTTCTATGGTTGTCAGGGGACCGGTTTTGTACAGGGCAGCTTGGTATTTGACCTTTTGGTCAGGAAACAAACTGAAAAAAAAACAAAAAAGAAAGGGAAAAAAAAAGAGCTGTATAAACATCCCACTGTCATTACCTTGGAGCCAAGTGACCTGGGAAAACCCCGGTGGAATCCCCGGGCCCCTGTGCTCACTGGCTGCCTGACCAGCTGCACTCACCACTCCTGAAGATCAAGAAAGACGAGGCCTGGAAGGTCCCGTTGGATTAACTTCTGGGAGGACTTTCTGTCCAGTGTGGGTGGAAAGGAAGTGGGAGGCGGAGCAGTGGATGTAGACAAGGGTTCTGAGGAGATGGGACAGGAGAGCGAGCCTTGCCAAGTGAATGCACAGACAGGGGCTCCGGTCAAACCAGGGTGAACTTCACCACTCGGCTGTTCATTTGTTTGGGGGCAAAACAAGAACTTCTTACAAGTAAAAAAGGAATTAGTAGAACCCACTCTATTCAATGTAAAGTAGATGTATTGTGGATTTCGACAAGCTTCCGGTTCTGTTTACATATTTCTGGTTGGCAAGTTTTATTGAATGTGTCAAAACCACATGACAGCTCTCCGCTGGCCTGTGAACAGCCCAGGGACTCCAGCAATGGTTGCAGAAGGTCAGCCATGGACACTAGTTGGTCTGACCTTCCAGCAAAGTGTGTACAGGGCCCAAAGCTGAGGGTTATAAGGTGGTAAATGCTGCAATAGTTTGTATCCTCCAGTGGTGCTGGAACACAGAGTATGCATAAAGGGGTCAAAGAAGGTTTCTTCAAGGTGGGGGCACTTGAGCTGGCAGGAGATCATGTTGGTTAGGAGCACGGCGTGGGCTTGAATCCTGGCTCTGCCACTTGTTAGCTGTGTGACCTTGGCAAGTTACTTAGGCTCTCTGTGCCTTCATTTGTACATCTATAAAAAGGGCATGAAACTAGTATTTACTTCATAGGGATGTTGTGAGGATTAAATAAAAGTACGTATAAAGTACTGAGACCAGGGCCTGGTAGAATTATTAGCTGTTATCTGGACTGGGTCCTGAAGGATGAGTAGGCCAAGCTTGGAGAACAGCACAGGAACCACACCTGTGGGAAGGATGGGAGGTACTGCCATAAGAAAAGCGGCGAGGAGAAATCGTGCAGGGCCTGTGCATCAGGCTGGGGAGGCTGGCCTCTGCCCTGTAGGAAACGGGCACCCCACTCACAGCTCTCCTGCCTCCATCAGGAAAGACTCCTCTGCTTGTTAGAAACCAAAGCTTAGTTTTTCAGTGATCCAAAAGAGGAGAAACCTGAGGGCATGAAAGTAGGTTAAAGGGAGATTCACTCAGTTACTTTGGAAAAGCTTTATCTTGCCTCTAGATAAGATTTACTCAGAGTCAGAATTGGGACCTGGGAGTGACCCAGAAAAGCATGATTAATGGTAATAACAACACAAGCTTGCATCTGGATGGTGCTGTGAGGTGGGAGTGGTTCTCAAAGCCTTTGGCTCCGCCTACCTCACGGGGCCCTAGAGCGTCTATTGTGTCTTTTTCTTCTGTGGGTCAGTCCAAACCCCTTTCTGACCTTTAAGACATTTTAAAAGTCCACAGTGGGCAATTTGGGGAGCAGAGTTCCTCAACCCTCCTACATCTAAAGACAGAATTCTCAACATTAGAGATTGCTTCCTTTGACTTGGATCAGTGGAGACAAGCCAGCAGTAAAAAGAACAGGGAATCTGGAATCAGCACACAAGGAATTGAGTCCCGAATGCTCCACTTTGTAGCTTAAGTCACTCACAACCTCTCTGACCCTTAATATCTTCATGTGAAAACCTGGGACTATCATTATACTGCCTTCCCGAAAGGCTACAAAAAGAGTAAGAAGAGATCACATATGTGATAGCTCTGAACTGTCCCAGTCAGCTGAGATTCATGTACTGAAGGAGTAGTAATCTGGATGTCAAGGAAGGAGGGTGGGGGGCAGGAAAGTTAACTCTTGTCAATCTGACATCAGTGTCTCTGGCAGACCAGGGCTTCTCTGGAGGTAAACCTCTCTCCAGCTGGAGGAGAAGGAATGTGGGAGCCCTATTGTTCTGTGCATTTCCCTTCTTGACCACAAGGTGTCGCCACTGCAGCAGAAACATTCATTGCAGCCAGATTTCAGGAACTACTGGGTCCTTTCCAAAAAGAAAAGGGGCTTGAGAGCCCCAGATCAGAATCAAAGCAGGTCCTGTGGCAATGTGTGTGCACTGGTTAATCCAAAAGTAGCTTCTAATGTCCATTGTTTTGAGAAACTGGGGCAGGATATCGCTGACTCTGGCCTAGGATGCCACATGTTCCCACATCCTAAACAAGGCCAGGAGCTCCAAGCTGGGCTCTGATAATTGGGAAGGTCCTGGAGGAGTCTGAGGTCTTCTGCCTTCTATCTGTCTGCAGTGTGCTGTGTACGTTTAACACATAGACTGAGTTTCACGTGCTAAAATAGTGGGACTCTGATAAGAGCTATACACCCCTGAAACATTGCCCAGGGTCATAGAGCATTTCCCAGAATGCTCTTGTGTTCCTTCAAGATGCCTCTTAAAAATATAAAAATCCAATTGGTTTAGAAAATGAGACCATTAATATCGAAACCCCCTGTTGGAGTTGCCGAGTGCTCGTTAGCACATCAGAAGCTCTAACTCAATGATTTCTAAACTTGCTTTGGTCGTAGACCCCTTTCTCAGTAACATATATTAACATCACATGTAAGCAGTATTCCAGAAAATGCACCAAGGTATGGAATTCTAGGATAGAAGGGGTAGCATTTTATAGAAAATGAGTATCCAGAGAATAGCATGCTGGGTTTCAAGGGAAGAATCTGAAGAAAGTGTATGTGAAGAAGATTGGAAGAAAATAACTTCAAATCAAAGGGCTGTTATTTACAGCTGGTGATATTACAGATGATTTTTATTTTATTCTCTGCTCTTCATAGAGGCTTTCCCTGACCCTTCAAGTGAGATTAAGATCAAATTGCACTTCCATTTTGAACTCTATAAAACACCCTGTAATCACCATTGTTTCATGTCTGTCTTCTCTTATATACTGGGAACGCCAAGAGGACAGGGACCCTCATCATCTTGTTTTGAGCTGATGTGATGAGCATATAAACATTGGACTGAATTGAAGTAATAGTTTTATGTCATAAATTCTTGTATAATATGTATATATTTTTGTAATGAGTGTAATGCAATACATGTATAAATTCTTGTAATGAGCATCCAGTACTTTTATAATTTTTTTCTTTCCTTTGTAAAAATTTTTATTTTCTATTATAGTTGATTTACAACATTGTGTTAGTTTCAGGTGTACAGCAAAGTGATTCAGTTTTACATATACATATATCTATTCTTTTTCAGATTCTTTTCCCATTTAGGTTATTATAGAATATTGAGTAGAGTTCCCTGTGCTATGCAGTAGGTCCTTGTTGATTATCAATTTTATGTATAGTAGTGTGTATATGTTAATCCCAAACTCCTAATTTATCCCTCCCCCACCGCACCTTTCCCCTTTGGTAACCATAAGTTTTTCTGTCTGTGAGTCTGTTTCTGTTTTGTAAATAAGTTCATTTGTATCATATTTTTAGATTCCACTTATAAGTGATATCACATACTATTTGTCTTTGTCTGACTTACTTCACCTAGTATGATAATCTCTAGGTTCATCCATGTTACTGCGAATGGCATTATTTCATTCTTTTTTATGGCTGAGTAATATTCCATTGTATATATGTACTACATCTTCTTTATCCATTCATCTGTTGATGGACATTTAGGTTGCTTCCATGTATTGGCTGTTGTAAATAGTGCTGCAATGGACACTGGGGTGCATGTAACTTTTCAAAGTATGGTTTTCTTCAGATATATGCCCAGGAGTGGTATTGCTGAATCATATGGTAGCTCTGTTTTCAGTTTTTTAAGGAACCTCCATACTGTTCTCCCTAGTAGCTGTACCAATTTACATTCCCACAAACAGTGTAGGAGGGTTCCCTTTTCTCCACACCCTCTCCAGCATTTATGGTTTGTAGACTTTTTGATGCCAGCCATTCTGACTGGAGTGAGGTGATACCTCATTGTAGCTATGATTTGCATTTCTTTGATAATTAGTGACATGGAGCATCTTTTCATGTGCTTTTTGGCCATCTGTATGTCTTCTTTGGAGAAATGTCTATTTAGATCTCCTGCCAATTTTTTTGATTGGGTTATTTGTTTTTTTACATAGAGCTGCATGAGTTCTTTGTATATTTTGGAGATTAATCCGTCAGTTGCTTCTTTTACAAATATTTTCTCCCACTATGAGGGTTGTCCTTCCATCTTGTTTATGATTCCCTTTGCTGTGCAAAATCTTTTAAGTTTAATTAGGTCCCATTTGTTTATTTTTGGTTTTATTTTCATTACTCTAGGAGGTGGATCCAAAAAGATATTTCTGTGATTTATGTCGAACACAGTTCTGCCTA